GAAAATAATGTTTATTCTTAGAAATTGTTAAAGAGACAACAATCCTGAGAGAGGAAAAGAAGTGTCCAAAAGTATTTAAAAAATAGCATTCCTAAAGCATGGATATCGTATGACCCTCACATGCAAGCTTAGGTAGGTGCAGCTGATTCTTTTCTCCGAAGATGTCACAGTGCTCTACAAGCACAGCTTTAGGCAGTTGGAATTATATTTGTATACACTGGTTCTGACAGGATGCCCCCCTCATCCACATTTAAAGTATCCTCAACATAGACTATATAGGCAGAAGACAGATCACTGATTTGAATATGAAGGCATATATCCTTTGCTGCTTCAAAGTGTTAATTTCTCTAATTTGAGAAAAATGTGTGTAACTGTGTCCACATGGAATTCAGATTAGGCTAAAAAAGGATTAAGAACTTGTGTTAAGACTATTTAAGGAAATATCTGCAAAGATCAATAGTAAAGAAAAAATATAAAAATGCTTGAAAGTATAATGGTGAAATTTAAAAAGAATGCAACAATAAAAACTAGCAGTGAAAAAAAAAAGCAAAAGAACAATCACTGTTAGAAGTGAGAAAATGTAGAAAACTCACAATGGGAAGCAGGAGACTAGGATCTAAATTTCTGTCAGGACAGAGGCCAACAGTAATGTCAAGGGACATTACTAGATGAAGACAAGCTGTTGATACAGAGTAAGTATAAAGTCCTCAGTACGTACATGTGTGTTTGAAAATGTAGTGTATGAAAAACATACATACTTGCAAAAAAAATATAAAATACGTTGTATAAGGAATAAATATTTTTAAATCAACCTCATTAGCTAGCTAATACTACTTTCAACAAGTCTTGGAATACTGAGAAAATTTTAAAACATTAAGAAAAGCCTTAGTATTATGCCACTATTTAAATACTGGAGAATGTTGACCCAACTAACTCTCAAACAACTAGCCTGACATGTGTCTCTGATAAATCAGGTAAAATAACAGAAAGTTGATACAGGATTTCAGCAATGAAGAATTAACAGATGAGAACATAATTAATGCCCATCAAGATGGTATTACATAAAATAGGTCATGCCACACAAACCTGATTTCAGTCTTTGAGGTGATTACATACTGGGTTGTTAAGGCAACTACATAGATGCAATGTCCTTGGTTCCATCTGTCCAGATCCCCACTGTCATGAAGATGTTGAGCTGTTAGGCAGAGTCCAATGTGGTGTGTGCTGAATGTCTGGGATTGTTAATCACTGGAGCAGGTAGTATAATTTCAGCAGTGCAGCCTTCTTACCCAGTCTCTGAATGCAATGCAGTGCATTACAGAAATATCTGACCAAGTATTAAGGATGAAAATTTATTTATTTGGAAGCACAATAGATTAGTCTGAATGGAACTTGAGACTAACATGGCTATTGCTGCTCATACTCAGGTTAGCTCCACCCTAACGTGGACACAGAACCTCTCTACTGGGATCACGTTAGCCTGCCTGTCTGCCAGAGGTGCAAGAAGCATGACCAGAATGAGAGACACATTCACAGCTCATCAGTAATTTACACAAACTATTAAGCTAGTAGAAAAACTTTCCCATAATTGTCCTTCTGGATATGACCATTGAGTTTATTCACTACGGACCTCTCTGCACACTGGATGGGAGTGAGATCCCTCTCTTACTGGGAGAAGCAAGACAAAAAACTGTGTCAGGACAAAGTCCACCGTGGCAATGTGAGTGCCTGAAGCATCTTTCATAATTTCCTAAAATCCATAGTTAAAGAGTCTTATGCTTATGGATATACTTCTTCAGTTGGCCCCCTGCTGACCTGTTGACTATTTAGTGACAGAAATTTTTAATGTGCTTTTACAGCCATCAGCTTTGTAACCCTGTTCTGGAACAGCCAGTTATGCTGTTGATTATTTATCTTTAACCTTTCTATAACTAAACCAATCCATACACTGACATCAGTTATTTTACAATTTCATTAAGTGAAAGACAGTATGCCAGTGTTCTACAAGAAGTGTTTTAAGTCACCTCGGTAAACAGAATTTAGTAATCATAAAATTCTTGGGTTCATTAACCAGGCATCTCTGTAATGGGCTAGGGAAATTCAGTGCGTACCAGAAGTTTACAAGTAGAAGGTATTAATACAATTCTCTGTCACTGACCGATGCAGTCACTGACCTAAGATAAAAGTAGGAACAACGAGGAGGAGTTAGCACACAATTCCTACTCGCTTTAGTGGGTTTACTTTTAGTGGTAAACACAGTGAAAACTTTGTGATCTTATAAGCAGGGTAACTTACAGAGCAAGTTTTTGTTTCCATTGCATATAGCACTGTGCTAGAAACATGCCCATGCTTGCAAACGAAGCTATGCTGATGAAAAATAGACAAAGCCAATCAGATTTCTGAAATACTGTTATTCTGGTAGAGGAATTATTTCAAACTCCATCCTGTTGCAGACCTCCACTGATTAAAAAAAAAGATCCTACTATGCTGCCATAGAAACCAGTTTTTGCCAGTTTTTGCATTTAAACAAACTGGCTGCTCATTTTTCAAAGCTAATCTGTCTATATTATGTGTCTCTGTAATAGCTTGAAACATAGGTCTCATCTCTTACAGGTTTACAGACAACTGCTCTTTCTTTCCTAGGATTAGCTGCAGCATTTCCTGTCATCCTTGGATTAAAACTGCAGTTCTCTTTGCTGCATATCATATGCCAACAATCCCCATTTATGGTCTGAAAATACTTTATAATCCTATTTGCTTTTTAGCTCATAGGATAGATTACTTTCTATTTGGTTTCATTTCTTTGGAAAGTGCTAGATATTTCTGTTGTTCTAAGATACACAATCACTGCACTGAGGACAAAATTTTAATAAACCCAAACATCAAAAATAACCAAAAAGACAAGTGAGGAGCCTTTTACAGTGTTGCCCAGGGTGAATGACCACACCTACAGAGATAAAAGTCACACTTTGCAATTTCTAAGGGTTGTGTTGTTCTGCTGACTTGACTGGCAGCCTGATAAGCAGTCAGTAGGTAATAAGACAAGGTCTTTGCTGATGAAGAGCTGGTATGGAGACTTTACACTATGCTTGTATAACTCACTTTGGGATCAGAATTTAATCTAATTATATAAGCTCACTACAAACACCAGGGTGTGTTTGTTTCTCATTTTGGGCTTTGGACATGCGGTCCTATTAGATGCTGTTCTTACCCAACATGCATTCCTCTTAGGCAATCTCGCAGGCCCACCTAAAAACAGCTCTGACGGGCTATGAAGCCCACCAAAGTTAACTTCTCCCAAAAAGGAAGCCACTTTTTAGATTTCAACTAAAATTTGCAGTGTCTGTAAGGATGGAAAAGGGGAGACTGTTTTTCCTCATGAACACTTCCCCCTAAGACACTCCTGGTAAAGCAAGGCAAACTAAATTACATACATGAATGCCTAGGGACAGAAAAGGTTGTAAGAGTAACACTGTTATTTGTACTGTTTCTTTTCCTATTAAGAGACATTTTACTCCTGACATGTTTTTTCTAAATTCTTTTAGTTAAAAAAATTTAAAGGACTATTATTACTGTTTTAGAAATAGTTGTCCTTTACCATAACTATCTCACATACCTGAGGATTTTTTTACAACATCTTTTTAATCAGTATTTTATTATCTTCCTTACAAATGCTTGGAAAAAACTGTTTAAAGCAATTCTGCCAGTACCATCTCCCATTTTGAAAACAACACTTTTTGAAGCCACTGTGAACATCAGCAACTGTTGACATGTAAACCTGCTCCTTCCTCTCATGTTTCCTATCAATCAGGTGATGTCAGCACTCATGTGGGTATACCCCAATGCAGCTTCACCGATTTCCATGGAGATTTCCCTGTGTCACCCAGCCCTTCAGAGCAGGTATTGGAGAGTCTGAACGAACCTGCTAACAAGACTTTGGGTCTGTTACTTAATACTGCCTGCAAGCCCATGTACTCCTGCATTTGTCAGCTTGGGTGAGTCCCAAAAGTGTGATTTTCTTAAGGTCTGTTCTTATTTTCTACCTTCTGTTTTGCACTTTCTGCTCTTGCAGCCTTTAAACAATATATTAATACTTTTAGGAAATTACTGTCAGTAGCATCAAGTGACAATTACAATGTACCTGGAGAATTGGTTGCAGATGCTAACCCGGTAGTGTAGTTTTAAATTCTGGCAATGGTTACATTCTGTTTTTAAAAAGGTGGAAAAATATGGGTTTAACGCAGAAATATATTATTCTAAGCTATTCTTATGCATACATGGCAGAAGGCTGCCTGGTGATCTATATCTGTTGTAATACATAAAGCAACAACAGTTCCACATTTCATGTTTCAGATAAACTATTTAATGACTTACTAACATTTGCTTTAACAATCTGTAAATGTGTGCACATTTTATTCCTTATAAAGGTGAAGTATTTTTTAAACCAAAGTAATTTTCTTGAAAATTCAATTTAAAATGCAATTTCAACTGTTTTAACATACTGAAAGAGTAGCTACTGAAAATACTCTCAAGAGACAATTCTGACAATATTTAAAATTAACAAAAAAACAAGATGACTTCAGGTAAAAGTGCATTCATTTTAACAGCCTCAGTATTTCTTTCACTAAATATCCGTTTGTGAATTATGTATTAAGAAAAATAAAGGAAATTTAAAGGAACAAAACTTAATTTCTATAAAACCAGTATTTCTATCACCAGACTTCTTTTTGAAACAGATTTCTATGCAGTTATACTTATTTCTAATTTAAAAAATTAGGCTAATTTGTCTCCTGTCTTTTTATAGCATAGGGAATGAAACACAGAAAATACTCTGTAAGTTGATACAGTTATGCATCTATAAAGTTTGTGTATAAAGGAAATTAACATAATATTAAAACTGAGTATGACAAAAAAATGCAACAACATACTAACTGGGAAAGAACAACACCACTGTGGTTGCATTAACCAAATCAAGCTAAGGCATTAGTAGTTTTTTAATTTTAAGTAAAGAGCTTCTCAGCTTCTTTAATTTTTCTTTTCCTGTCCATTTTAGAAACTTCAGTCCATCCAGCCTCTCGCATTTTTCTCATGGTTCTAAGTTTCAGTGCAGAGCCTGGACTTTTTGCATTTGATGTAGTTGGTTTCTAAGAAGAAAAATAAAGCTATCCATTAGTTTCTGTAACCAATTTGATTTAACTGTTCTTTTTGATCTGGAGAAAAGCTAAAGTACCTTTTTTGGTGTCACAGCATATAGTTGTGAAACTTGAGGATAATCTTTGTACAATGCTTTAAACATTTCTTCCTCTGAGACTATGCTCTTAAATTAAAAATAAAAGAGTTAATTACGCTACATTAAAAATACATTTTCTTTCCCCCAGGAGCATTTGAGTATGAAATAAAAAATTGAGACATGACTAAGAAGCCTCAGCAGGTCAATAAAAACAATGTAAAAATCATTACGACAGTATGTACTTTTGTATAGTCATACTCTGTCATGTAGTTACTCATTATATACATATAAATACAACTCCAGGGAAAAATTAAATTAAAAATACACATTGTCTTGGAATCAGAACCCCACATTCTTTATATACTTTCTTAGATATAGCAGTCCTTTTTGCATGCTGCTAAGTTCTCTATTTGTTCTCTGATTTTTACCAGGAGGTCACTGTGTTCAGAGCTATCTGAATGAGCATCCAGCTGTAAAAGAACTTTTGGCTTTTTCCTCATGCCCTGTTCTGAAGACAGATTTGTGCTTTCACTCTGCAGTTTATGTATTGGAGGGGTCTTTATAATATATGTCTGGGAGAGAAAAAGATGGCATTTAGAATGACATTTTCAGTGGCAATTAAAGAATCTAAAACCAAACTCATAACCCTGTTTACAGACTGAGTATCCAGGAAGACAGCAGAGAGATGCTGTAGAAGAACTGAGTTCTATGCCACGCTGTATCTACCTTCTTCATGCTTATCTGCAGAAATTCAGGTTATTCTGAACTGTAGTGGCTACGTGCAAACTATAACCAACATTTAAGAAAACAAACAAAACTGCAGAAAAAAAAGCTTTCTGAAAAGACACTGTTAGTTGTATTAAGAGCAATATTGTTTCTACATAAATAGTTATTTCACCAGAAGTTTAACTTCTCAGAAACACTGCAATCCTCTTTTAAAAAGGATAACAAAAGTGCTAGATGTTTCTGTTAACACAGAAACATCATGTGAGCTTCTGACAGAGTAGAAGCATAGGTTTTAGTTATGATGAAGCAGTCAGGAATACTTTGATAATTGTTACAGCCACACAAGCAATTCCTTTACTAACAGATAACATTTTTCTTTTAAAACTAAGTAAAAGAACTGGAGCCATTATTAAATTCACATTCCCTCTAGGACAGGAATTGTTGCTGATCAATGACACCAGACAAATTAAGTAACTGAGCAAGAAAAATGACACACAGAGGGAGCACTTACACAAACTGCTTTCTAATATTGCTATGGAATACTTTCCTTTTTTGCAGCTATCTGCCTTTTTAATCCATGCTTATCACAGCACTAAACAGATGAGCATATCTACAGAGAAGTAAGAAATAGTCAGAAAAATAAAACAAGACCAATTCACTGTTATGAGTTACAAACCTTTAGTGATGGACTACCCAATGGGCTTTTTGCAGATACTGAAGAAGGCATTTTTTTCTTTTCCATCATGGTAACTTTTACAGGAGTATCACTGGGAGACTTTTTATTTTTTACATTAATAGATGTACAGTCCAGATCTAAATCAGGTTTAGTAGTCTCCAAAAAATTTGTTTGTATTTTCTAAAATTAAAAAAAGGTTTACATTAAAAGCATTTCCATGTATTTTGTCAACTGTACATAATTTATAATGGAAATTCAGTTAGCTTACATATGTATAAACATTAATTTTAGAAATTGGTAATAATAAGATTAAAGCTACCTTGTGCTTCTTTTCATATTCAGGAACTATATTTGGGAGGTGTCCTTTTGCAAGATTCTCCTAAAAAGATTTATATAATAGAAAGTAAAGTAATAGAAAGTATATATTTTATGTTAATTCAGTTGTTGAAAATCATCTTGGTACAATTACAGAACACCATCCACAGTCGTACTCTATTACAAAGTTCACACAAATACACGACACAGATTTGGTAAAACTGCAGCATTCAGAAAACAACTTCACAACTTATCCTATCTCTGCTAAGAAACCTACATACCATCCCTTTTTAATGAGAAAAGATTCCCTGACCCAATCCTCCTCCAAAGGTAAGTTCCTTTCTCCAGACTTTCCAGATCCCATTAAGTACCACAGCCTTTTCTTTGTCCTGTCATCAGAACTCCAGCACATAGGGCAGCAGGTCCCATAGAAGCCTTTCTTATTGCCTCTCCTTGTCAGTTTTACCTCCAGATTGGCTTTCCTGACATCATCCCTGCAAGCTTGCATAGTTCTTCACAGGGTTTCAGTTTGTCCCTGCTTCTCATATTTAGTAATTAAGTAGTAATGCAAATGTTCGCTACCACCAGAAATGAAATAATGACCACAGAGAGCATCAAGCTCTTTAAGTCTGACAGTGAGAGCAAGAGAACAAGACCTAGAACCAAAAGCTTCACAGCTGTCATGATTATAGTGCATAAGACCAGGCAAAGCACATCACACACACTGCAACATTTAATTAAAAAAATACCTTCTCTTCAATTTCTGCTTTAAGTTGTTCCTTCAAGGATGTCAGTTCGCTTTTCAAACATGACAGTTCACTTTCCTAAAAACAATTAAAGGATAGGGGTAAGTATGCTTAACTTGGAAAAAAGAAAACAGTTCAAATGAGACAGTAATAAGGATACTTGTTATAAAAGAAAATTCCATTTGTTCAATAGAGCTAACTTATCCATAAAGTTAACAGGCCAAGAGGTATCTAAAATTAATTTTCAGAAAGCTTCTATCACTAGAAGAACAAAGAATCAAAGCAGTTACCAAATATTTTTTTTAAGAATAACAAAAACATGTAGATTTGCCTCACACATCCTTCTACCAAAAAATCTAACTGAAAAAAAGTCTGCATTGTAAGTAAATGCCTTAGAATATTACACTTCCGTAAGTTTTGAGGGGATGTTGGCACTCAGAACATTTCTCAAAGCTAAGTTGCCCCAGAAAGAAAAAAAAGCTCAACGCAACTCTAGACCTGAAGTTTTGTTTTAGTTTGTTTTAAAAATTGAAGTACTACTAAGAAACTCGTACTTGACTAGAACTGTTCAAAGTAAGAACTTAAAACACGTGTAAGAACAGGGGGTAGAATCCAACTATTTAATACAAAACTTCCCTATTCAGACAGCAGGGTTAGAATGTGACACACTATCAGGAAGTCAGAAAACACAACTACTCAAGTTTTATTTTTAGAGGCATCTGGCATTTTTTAAATACACATAATAAAGTAACAGTAAACAGAAATTAGTGGGTTGATCTTTACTGTTCAGTCCCACAAAAGCAGACACTTAGCCCCCGCCTCCTCCCAATGGTTAAATAGGAAGAAATCTAATATACAAAATTACACTTGCTGAAGAGTACACCTTACCATTGATCTTTTTGATGATAACTGCTCCTGCTCTTTTATTTTATAAAGTTTTAACTCTGTGTCTTTTTCTTCAACCATTTTATCATATTCATGCTGTGTTAAAAAAACCAAAATGTGACTAAATGTTAGAATTGTAGATCTACCTAGTCTTAAAATAGCACTCATTCTTTTCAAATAAAATCTTCAGAAGATTCAGAAAGCACAATGAACAAACATTGATGCTTCAGCAGAAACTGTAAAACAGGAAAGGCGTAGAGTATTATTTTGTGGGCTGACAGAGATGCTTCATCTCTAGGCAGCAGTACATGTTCCAGCACAAAAAAGCCAGCTGTATCATTTTTATTAATAGTATCTACTAAATATACCGCAAAACAGAGTAATAAGGAATGTATATTAAAATGTTAAACTGCTGAAGCTCACTACAGAATCTCATCCCAAAAAGAGGCCCAAACTGATACTGAAGAACACTGCATTACAATGGTATCAAAGGAAGCCTGAATATTAAAAAAATAAACAAAAACAAACTTAGTAATCCAGATAGATGGAATCTATCTGCCAGCAGGCATGTTTTCAAAATCTGAAGATTATTTTACATGATGAAAAGTCATGTGTCCACCTTCATTTTCCTAGATGCAGGTCTTTTATGAAGTTTTGCTTTGTAATTTGTGATATTCTGGTTTTGAAAGGTTTTTACTTAACACAGTACCACACATTACAAACCCCAGAAATCAGTAAAACCTCTTACCTTGTGTTTTTCCATAAGTGCCACCATTTCAGTTATCTTGTGCTGACATCGGATATCAGTTTCTCTCTGTGTTATCGCTGCTTCATCAGCAAGCAACCTCATCTTTTCTACCTGTTAGTACCAAGTTTAATTCATGAACAATACCTGACCAGGAGAACAGTTTAGACAAGGCACTCTACAGACAGACAGGAGCAGCTTCACATTCACAAACCATGGTACTCATAGGGGACTTCAGCCACCCTGATACCTGTTGGAAGGACAAGTCCACAAAGCACAAGCAATCCAGAAAGTTCCTAAAATGTGTTGATGATAACTTCCTTTTCCAAGTAATTGAGGAACAAACAAGGAGAGATGTTATGCTGGACCTTGTTCTCACCAACAAGGGCTGGAGAAGAAAGCTAAGCTCAAGGGCAGCCTTGGTTGTAGTGACCATGAAATGTGGAGCTCAAGATCCTTAGGGCAGCAAGGAGGTCTCACAGTAAGCTTACTACCCTTATACTTCAGGAGGACAGATTTCAGCCTCTTCAGGTATCTACTTGACAGTGTCATGGGATAACATCCTGGAGGGAAGAGGGGCCCAGGAAAAGCTGGCTGATATTTAAGGATCACCTTCTTCAGGCCCAAGAGCGATGCATTCCAGCTAAGTGAAAGTCAGGTAGACTCCACAAGGCTGGAATGGATCAGCAAGCAACTCCTAGAAAATCTCAAACTTAAGAAGGAAGCATACAGAGGGTGGAAGCAAGGGCCGGTACCCTAGGAGGATTACAGAGGTTGTCCAAGCAGCTACGGATCAGGTCTGGAGAGCCAAGTTCCAGATGGAATTAAAAGTATGTCCATTCCTCCATGGCAAAGGAGTGTCATTTTGAACCTCAGGGCCATTTCAAGTACTCTGCCCTAACAGTTTTTGATACTACCATAAAAAAAGTACAGGTAAGAAAATACTACTATGGGGAAAGTGATAATCTAATGTGCTTCTGCTGTACTTACTATTTACACACCAAGAATAGCATGTCTGTGAACAGCATCTTCACAAAAAGAATGTTAACTGGGTTCTTATTTTTAAAGACACATATTAATACTTCAACTTAAGGTTCTAGTGTACTAAAGCTTTACTCACATACATATACAAGATGTTCCATTATGTTGGTAAGACCACTGTGTAAGAGTAAGGACTCTGGCTTATAGTTTCAGAAAACTATCATACATAAAAATTAATTAAAATTTGTAATAAAAATTAACAGCTCTCACCTCTTCAAGAAGTTTATTTTCATTTACATCTTTTGTTTCAATCTCTTTTTTATAGATGTCAACTGCTTCCTTATGTTGCTTGTTCATATTTTCCATCTCTAACCGTAATTTATTCACCTTTTGAGAATGCAGAATTATTGCTGTTATTTGTTTAGAAATAAATATGCCAATTTTTTTTAACCTTTTATTTTCAATCAGAACCACTCTTATGTTCAGGTATGTGACTGAACTGTTTCGTATTTAATGTTCAGCTTTTTTCATAAAGAGTTTAACTTCAGCCTGAAGTGAGTTAGGAAATACTCAGCAACAGTGGCAACACCACAACAAGAAAGACTGCCTGTGGCAGTTTGAGGCCCCCAGTCAATAGCCTCTAAAGCTAGAGGCTGATCAATCACAATTATTCCAATATAAGGGAATCATCCATTAGCAATCTGACACTATTCTGGCTTCTGTACAAAAAAAAATATTTTTAGTATTGCTGGCATGGAATGCAAGGTAAAAAAATTAACCATAACCTAAAGGTCTCCTACAGACTTAGCAGTACAACTTCATTTACTATTAAAACTTTTTTTTTCAAATAGGAGTTAAGGAAACACTTTGCCTAGAAATAGTTTCATTTCAAATTTTTAATTATGAAAATATTATTTCCTCTTAGCTGATAACATTAAAGAGAATTTGATATGAAACAAATAGGAAGATTCTATTCCTAAGCAGTCACCCCAAATGCTGTGAATTATTAGAAAAAAGATACACATAAGAGATTTTATTCCCTCCCTAGCCAAACAATTTAAGATTTTAATTGGTTTATGGTATGTTTTTGTCCAAGTGTGCATGGTGGTTATAACTTTTCCTTTCAAGTTTCTTATAATACCATCAAAACAGTCTACATCTTTCTTGAAGCGTGGTACCCACAATTGGACACAATATTCTAATTAGGGATTTTCCACTGCACAGTAAGAGTGAATAGTACATTTACTTTAATTACTCTGCTGTTTCAATAGGGTAGCATTACTGAATAATGTTCAGTACACTAGCAATCATGAAATAAAGGGACTGATTTAGGAACATAATTCTTTGAGATGTGATGGCCTCCTCTTACAAATGTCTGATAGCCCAGTCAGTATCCAATGATTAAAAAAGATAGCATCTTCCAAAAACTATGGAATCATTCCTGTAAAATCTGTATTGCAGATCCATAAAACAATTAAGAACGTACTTAACATTATCTTCAGTTACACTGGGATTTAAAACATCAAGTCTTTGCTTTCCCCTCATATCTTGTACATCTAGTTATTTAAACATACCTTCCCTTCATAAATACTGGTTTTCTTGCTTTCTGCAGTAATTTTCTTTTTCAGTACCCTATTCTGTTAAAACAAACACTATGCTTTAAGTTAATATAATTATGTAACGAAATAACGTCAGAACCTTCAAAATTCCAGCTTTCAGCAAGCAATTCTTTTTGTTGTGCAGTTCAGCTTCCAGATCAATTATCCAAACAAAAAGAGTACTCAACTTACTTTGACTCAAGGACTCAAGGATTTTGACTCAACTTTTAATAATACTGTTACTTCATGACCTTATGAAAGATTTCTCGTGGGCAACAACAGAGAATAATGAGAGGGTGCAGAATGGGAAGAAAAAAGATGCTGCTGACAAAAAATGTGCATATGTCATGACAAAAAATACAAGTTATGTATCTTTGCAGTACAGTTATTAACTATTTGTCCTAAGGCACAATTCTTTTCTACTCTTGGTACCTGAGATAGGTGATTACTTAATGTATATCAATATCATATACTAAATGTAAATAGTAAAAATTTATTCAATATATTTAATTGCATTTTCCAAAGTAAGGATAATTTCACAAATCAAGTAGTTCTAAAGGTGACTCTTTAATCTTCTCAGACTTAGGATAAGAAAGGAGATGTTATAAATGATGCAGGTATATCTAAAGGTATCAGCAAGCAAAACTGTTGAAATGGTATTTTTTGGTAACAGTTACTTCTTTTATCAGTGCATGACGTTTAAGAACTGTACATACCTCCTGTTGCAACTCTTCAATGCATTTGGTTTTATTTTCCACTTGTTTCTTTAAATTATTGAACTAAAAAGAGATGTTTCAAGCATTAGTCAATTAACTCCTAAAAAAATGACTGTGTTAAGAGATTACTGTCAACATTCTTAAGCATGTATTTGCACAAGTCTGGTTAATTCCAGTAGGACTGAAACATATGCTAACATGTTAGAATAACTGGTGTTTTAACCATAAAGTACTACAAAAACTTTGCTGGCCAAATATCATCAACAATAGCAGTGAAGTACCACCTCAGTGGTTCCAGAGTTTAGGAAGAACAAGAAGTACCTTCACAATTAAAAAAATAATCTTGAATGAAGTTTCTACAGTACATGAAAAAGATTGTATACCTTATTTTCTAGAATCTTCAACTGTTTATCCTTTCTTGAAATTTCATTTTCAATACTCTTAGCCTGGAATTATAATTTTATATTTGACTTATATAATAAAATTTTGAAATCTACTATGATGTTAAAAAGGCATACTTTGAAAATACACTAAGTAAAATACTTGAACATATTAATCCTCATATTACATATTGAAAGGTAATCCATACCCCATCCATCACTAAGTGGATATATGGCAATATAAAAGGGTTTTTTTGCCTCAAATTTAACAAATTTTAAGCCTCTATGTAAACAGTAAATGACACACTGAAAGTCCTTGTCTTTTAAAATTAAAAGGCACACCATGTATACATATGTTGATTCAATTCGTAGTACCACTGAGACAAGAAAGCCTCTTCAACAGACTACATCTCTAAGTAGATTTCAGCAAAAAAACTGAAAGTTTTACATTTAGATTTTGTCCTATGTTATATAATTTAATGATAAAGCACATGATATGGCATACATTTTCTTCTCTTTCATCCAGTTTACTTTTAATCTCTTCACCTTTCTTTGCCATCTTCTGCTTCAAAGACTCCAGTTCATTTCTAAATATGAAATTAACACACATTTGTAAATATTTCCTTTGTAACTGACTTCCTTTCACTACTGCTAAATAAACCCATCCTTCATTTTCTAAAAAATCTGTTTATGTAGATGAGAATTTCATAAGCTGTTCAATGAATATGTTCCTAAAATAACTCAAAGTGACTATTAAGTTAATGTCTGACCTGTACATACTTTTTGTAAGTGTGGAAAGATGGTCCCCTTACCTGAGTAAAATATATTCTAATCTATAGTACTATAATGCATCCATGAAACATTGAAGGTTGCCTGTCTATTTGATTTGTAGTACAGAGATTACTTCAGAGTAACATTTAACCAGTTTCACCTTTTCATATTTAATCCATAACCTTTAACTTCTACTTTTATTTTCTTCACACCTAAGATGTTAATGTGGAACAGCATAGCTATATGTAATACAAAGCTATGGCAAAAATTCTTGCTGTAGCAATAGGCATCACCAATTTATAGAAACTTATTAGTATTGTATATTAATATTTGTTTTCACTTGCCTTAGCTGGCCATTTGCTTCTTCCAGGCTTTCAACTAACTGCTTTATATTTTCTTCCTGTTTTCTACTATCCTAAATAAAGAGTTGTAAAACTAAAATAAATATAAAGGTGCTATCTTAAAAAATTCACACATCTTAAGCACTCAAAGGTAACTGTACTTCCTTTATATTTTAAACACAAAAAATAGTTCAGATACTTTACCAAACCTTGACATGTTGTAGTCTACCATATATGATTTATATTTGAAATTTCATGTTTTCCCTTAAAAACAGCTTGAAGTTTACAACTTGCCTCATTACTTTCTTGCAGTTTCTTGAGTTCTGTAGCCATACCACTTTTCTCTTGCAGCATTTGTTCTTTTTCTAACAAAAGCTTATCGATATGCACTGTTAGTTGTCCATTCTTTAGCCTAATTTAAAACAATTAATTCAGAAACTTTCTCCTCATGTTAATCCAACTAAGTTAGAGACATGCAAGAATTACATACAAATATTGAAAACGCCATCTACAAATACCTAACAGATGTCATACTGCATGCAGAGGTTCAAAACTTTCATTAGAAAAATTAATTTCATTGTATATTAAAAGTAACTTTTACATAACAAAAAATTAAATACTATATTTTCAAAAATTATCATACGTCTCTCGTTCAAGATCTGTATTCAGCATCATAAGCTGTTTTAAATAATTTTGTTCCTTTTCATCTGTAGTAGTCAGCTGTACTTTCAAATCCTGGATTTCTTTCTGCAGAAGAAAAAGAAAGTGTTTTGAGTGTACATATGTAAACTGCAAGTCCTGAAAGCTATCAGAAATGAACTGACAAAGTTTTAAGATGAAACAAATACATGCATGCTATAAATTAGCCAGACTGTATCTTTACATCTCTGGTGTGATGCGACAGTAGTTGAGATACTGAACTCTAATACAAACACTAAATGTGTCCCCTATTTTAAGCCTAGCTAGTCTGCAAAATTAGTGACAAAATTAGCTTTCCTTGGAGACTATTTTCAATACATTTGCTTCAGATATGATAAGCTTCTGCACTCACCTACATTAAATAATTTCTTCAGAAAAATAACAATTCTAATACTTTGTGATAGAATAAGCACGTATTTTCAATGCTTTCCAAAACAAAAGCAAAACTCCTCCTTCAAATTTCCTGCCATTACAAGATAAGGCAAGCCTTATGATGTAATGTAGTTTACAATATATATATACACGCTTTCAATTAAATTTTCTCCAAATAATTGGTGATACTGCCACTGGCACTGGCAGGCAGTTGGTGGGGAAAAAAGGAAGGAGGGAGAGAGAGTCATCATAATAGATTTCAAAATTTTATAATAAAGTCAGATTTTAAATTCTAATTCAGTTTTTAAGCACAGAACATAATGAACTTTTGGAATTTCTTATCACAAAAGGCTTTGGAGACAGATAATGTAAGGAGGTTCAAAAAATTACACGAGTGAGCATGAACAAATGACAAGGATTTGTCCTCAAATATCCTTAATACAGCTACTGTAGGAAAGGGCAATGGGCCATAGATAAGTCTTCTGCTGTCATTGTCATGAGCAGAGCAGTGGGCGGAGCACTAGTCTAACTATGTGATACTTCTTATGGTCTTATATGCAAGTGATAACATGTAACTTATCTATAAAATATATTACTGTCATGCTTTATTCAGACCTCTCTGACTTGAAGAACGTTCTTCATTTCTTTTTCTCGCTCCTGAAAATTTTCTACAGTAGCCTCAAGATCTTTCTTCTTTACTAAAAGTCCTTCAATCTTTCCCTGCTTAAGAACAGCAGTGAAACTCAGTTTAGAAAATTCAGTCTATGTAAGGAACAAAATATATATGGCAAAGTACAAACCTAGTTTCACAGTTTTACTTTAGCTGATGCAGTTTCTTGTTAGACTTGTAAATACAAGAGCAAAACTAAAATAAGGCTATATTTAAAGTCTACTTCATATAGTTTAAGACTTCTATAACAGAAAATAGGCCTGTATCACAGCCAGTAGGGTTCACTGAGACCAGAGGTCTACCTCAGTAAACTTGCCTGTAAGAAAAGAACCACCCGAACAACAGGAGTACATGAAATGGGGTGTCACAACCCTGTTGTAACAGAGTTACAGACTCTTAAATGTTTTATCTGAAAAGGGCCATGCATGAACACAGCACACAATGCCTTATAAGTGCTGAAGTACATGAAGTACACCTCACCATAACTAAAATCCTACAAACAGCAAAATAGTAACAGATTTGTGAAGTACTAAACCCATGGAATTCCTTATTACTTTCCTCATTTTCTCACACAACCTTTTCACAAGCTCCACTGACTTTTCTGGGTGGTGTCAGAGTTTTGGTTATCATTAAAACAAGAAAATTAGGTAGGCCTTTATAATGTTTAATTTTTAGAAGATTATTATGAAGAAAGGGAGCCACTTGAGGAATTATCTTTACTGTATAAAGTTAGACTATCCCTTAACCTTAAATATATGTAGTTTAGGTTTGAGCTAATGTTTATCACAAGAATTATTTTTTAGAAAGTACTTTTCAGAATGAGGATAGAGTACTAGGCATAACTACAAATGGGCAATCTTTACATCCTCAGGGAGTTGCATTTGAATAGCTGTGAATGAAGAAGGAAGTTACCAGAAATATTGACAAGGAAAACCAAAACAAAAGAAAAAAACAGAATCAAGTCCTTAAAAAAAAGCGCAACACTGAAGTTGTCTAAATGATAGGAAAGAAATTTTTTAATGAATATTGAGGCAGATTAGACAGTGCTTCTACATAGCATTTAAGATACTTAAAAAGCAGGAGGGACTTCATATGAAAAGTAAATAGCATAAGACTAATAAAATAAGCATTTACCAGTGTTTCTGACAGCTCTTCAAGTTGCATTTCTTTGTCACATTTTAGTTTAGTCATTTCTTCTACAGCACATGTAAAATTAAACAGAAATAATTTCACATATTTAACAGGCAGTATAACACATCCCTTTGCAGTACCAGATTTTCATAATTGCTGCATTAAGTTCAGCAAGTGTAAAGCTATAAACTCCAAATTATGACAATATAAATGTGGAGTTGGAAAAGTGATTCAGAAAGACACAGCAGGTATATTTCTGAAGTTTCAAATAAACCATGGACCGCAAAAATGTTTATGAAGGAACAGTCTCCAAGTACTGATTCCCCTGTGTTTTTCCAGAAAAAAAATTATATTCTATTTCTACAAATCTTACCCAGTTCAGCAGACTTTTTTTTGAGCTCCAAGGTAAGTAGCTTTGACTCATCTTCATATTTCTCTGATCTAAGAAAATTGTAATTAAAAAAATAAACTGTATAGTCCAAAGCACTGCACTTGAAGCTTAAAGGACAATAAGACAAAGTCTTGCTACCACAAGCATTTTGAGAACATTTGCCTTTCAACAGGCAGGTGATATATCTGCCTGTAACATGTATCAAGTTTCACTTTAATAACTTCATCACAGCAGACATATACATATGTAAACCTGTATTATTTGCTAGAATTATGAAAGTTAGGGGAGTGAGAGAGAAAAAAATTGCTTTATTATAGACAAATATCAAACAGCACAAATTAAAAAATTAAATTATCTGTATTTAGACTAGTGTCCAAAAAAATTATTTCAGTTTCATACCCCTTTGCTCCTGGATTTGTCATTAGCTGCAGCTACTTAGAAAAACACCTTAATGCCATGTACCCAAAATCACTGTTTCATTAAAAACTCAGCTGTGATATGTATATAAAATATACCTCTAGTGCTGTTATTTTTAGAAAGCTTGATTTTAGTTGCTATCAGTTTCTTTGGCAATTTCTTACTTTTTGAAACTACAGAAAACCTGGAATACAGTAATAATAGGCATTGACAATAAACAGTATTACCACATACAGAAGAATTATCTTCCTCACCAGATGTTCCATCAACTAGCAAGTACTAGATGAGATTGCTGCGCTCTTAGTTAAGAGCTGCATCCACACAAAATCAAACAGCATAACTATCTTCAAGTGCTAATAATTCATATGGCCAGACGGGTGAAGGCCTTTTTGAAAGTTATTAGTGATTACAAAAAAGATCACACAAAGTTTAAGATTTATACCCAGCAGCTCAGTAATCTAGTATCTTACTTGTAAGACCATTCTTTGAATTTAGTGTTTAATTTACCTATTTTGCTCTTTTTGTAGCAAGCTTTTAAAATTGGACATAGAAGTCTCAAACTCCTCTCTCAGGGATGCATGCAATGCCTTAATTTTTTTACATTCTTCCACCTGTGCTTCTTTTTCTCCAGTGACCTGCATTAATGCTTTCACTGTAGTCTGCAATTCAGTTTGTAAGTTCTTTTGAGCAACCTACAAAAATTATATAATTTCTAAACTTTTTTTGCAACAAATAGATACAATTGCTTCATATCTAAAACATCAGTAACAGTTTATGCAATTACTTTTCTAATCTGTTTATACTAGAATATTGTAAGCAAGCTGTACCTCTGTTTTTTGCAATGAAACTTTGGCATCTTCCAGTTCTGCCTTCAAATGTCCTTGATTGATCTGAGATTCCTTTAATATTTCTCCTTCATTTCCTAAGCAAAAAGATATTTGCTTACATTTTTTTAAAATAGGATATTTACTAGAAAATGCATTTCTATTTTGCAGATATACACATTCCTACATCTTAATCAAGTTACATAATATATTCATGTCATTGTTAAGAAAAAAGCCTCCAAGGTGATTATTCACTTAGTAACAGCATAACAAAATGTAGTACTAGATATATGTATAAAATTTAACAAAATGTAGTCACATGTATCTGGCACAAAAACAATACTAAAACCTACCTCACCACTCCCCGGGGGAGGCTGAAAATTGCCTCAGTCATTAAGAACTAAAGTACTTATATTATATATTATAGTTATTTTGTAATATAAATGGCCTATAAATACTGAAAATCAAGGTCTGAAATGTTTCTTCAGTGGCATCTCACTGTAAATTTGCAAAACTCAAGCCATATATTTTCCCCTTGCTATCTTCAAAAGCTCTCACTGATTGAGCCTTAAAAAAGAGCTCTTCAAAAACAGTTATACTTCCAATCCCAGTCAATCCTTTAGCTATTTGCAAATAAAATTATATTTATAAGCTGTAACATCTGGGGAGAGTTACTTGGCAAAGATGTGAAAATAGGTTAGAATAAGGCTACTATTTATAGAGTATTGAATAAGTACTATACTTTGAAGACCCGTCACTAACTTGGTTTGAAACAGATCAATCCAATAACCAAGAAAAACAATTATTGTCATGCCATGTTTCCCATACAAGTCCAACTGAAATGGGAAAAATATCCAGAACAGGGGCAGGGTTATCCAGTGTCCTGGTAAAATTAAGTTATGTTACAAAAAGGAACTACAGGATATATGGTACCTTTACACGTTCACAACAGAGTTTATTTAAGAGTAAAAGAAAAATCCCTCACAATGAAGCTGTCACATCAACACAAAAAGAGGGTAAAGCTTAAGCCTGAAGAAAATCTTTGTTTTGAAGTAATGGTCTAAGTTTAATACATATGCAGATTACATTACCAGCCCTGATGCCACATCAGCATCTTCTGTTCAAATGAGAATACGGCCTGCAAGGCCCTGAAATTCTGCTGCCGGCTAATAACAGGCTAAAATTATCATGATCCTATTTCCTACACTTCCATAACTAATAATATATTTCAACATAGCAGAGAGACCTCTTACTTTTTGCTTCTTCTAAATCAGCAATCTTATTTTTCGATTCATGCAGCTGAGTCTTGATGTCTCTTATTATATCATCTTTTTCATCATTCTGTACGGTAAGAACTGAAATCTAACAAAACTATCATAATTAAGTCTAGAAAAAAGGACATTCTCATTTTGATTTGTGCATTGTGTATCATTAACATACATATGGCTGTCATTCAAGTTCAAAAAGGTATTAGCCAAATATTGATCAACTCATATTACTCTATGAAAAAGCTGTTCAGTTCAAAATCAAAACATCAATTCCAACAGACTGGAACATCACTAAAGTTAGCAGAATCTGACTTAAACATGGCTTCAGCTATTATTTTTGTCCTTTCTACTGATGCCCAGATACACTCCTTGCAACATCACATGCATCCTCAGAAAAAACAACTCCTGACCTCCCCAGATACAGAGAGATGCTCTGCTTCTCAAGACTCCTGCTTACAAACTTCAACTTAGTTGGTCTTCCATCATGGCTACCTCATCCCCACTACAAAAAACATAAGCAAATCACAGATTCCCAAACTGTCTTACTAGGTTAGAGTCTAATATGCATTATAATCCTTTTTCCCACATTATTTCTTACCAGATATGAACTATAACACTCCTAGCTATGAGAAGTGATGGCTGCTTTGCTAATTTTATGCTTCTGCACAAACCACTCTTCTAAAGGTAGCATATGTGTAGAGAACAGGAAGAGTATTCAGCATTTACATGATGCTTTTAAATCCTGTCACTAAGATGTCCCTTTTTACAATACAGCTGCCTATTTCACTTTTAAAATAATTATTTTCATTTGATATATCATAAAGCAAAATGGAGTTCAAATATTTGCAAGGCTTGTTTCAAGAACAGAGCTGTATATTAGATGGTAAAACTAAGCCAACCTGCTTTTCCTTCATACCGACTTCCAGTTTGCATTCTTTTTCAAACTTCTCCATTTTTTCTGCTTCTTCTTTTACTTTTGAGATACAGCAATATCCACAGTTAATAAACTAGCTAAACAATACTTCAGGTTAAACACAATTTTCAGTTTAAGATCATTATAACTGTACAGCTGTACAATTTGTCTCCTAAAGAGCAATTGTTGAGGTCATGTTTAAAATTATTTTCTAACCAGACTAATTTTTTACCAGCTTTCCACAGAATTAGTCCATTATTCTAATTATTGTTTGTTACAAGAAAGTAACAGAAATGCACATGTAAAGAATAAACACACACAGTAGCATAAATAAAGCAAATATGCAATTAAAATTTCTGTAGCTATGCACCAGTTAATTATTTTCATAAACCAACTACATAAAATTAGTAGTGATCACTAGACTGTACTTCAGATTTCAAGTAACTATTTCCAAAATAATCATCTAAATATGATCCTGTGGAAAAAAGAGTCCAGGCATTTAATAACAGGCAGCATGAATAAAAGAGGGTCCAGCCTCTCAGTGTTAACAGTTCCCCATTCTAATATTTCATATCTTTTGGCCTGAAACTACATGCAATGAAAGTACAAAATTGTAAAGCCTGCAGCAAAACACAATTAACAGAACTCTCACATTTGAAGCACATTTCCAATCTGGTGTTCTCTGCTTGCACACGAAGCTCTTCAAATGCTATTATCATTCTCTAAAAATAACATTAAATATAGAAGTTCATACAAAACTAAGTATTTTGAGCACTAAAGACTTACATTTACAGTCTGCAAACAAACAGCATTGCACACTCGTCATATCTCAACTGATATCACACGTGAGCCTTTCAACAAGCTATCACTTACTTCAACATTGTTATTAAGTTCCAGGTATAGTTGTCTTGTTTCATCTCTTTCATGCTCATCTATCAAAGCAAGAATGTACCATAAAGTTTTCCTTTCGAAAAAATATGCTGTCAAAGCCATTATGCTTAAACATTGAAGTAAATTAAAAAAGGAATTAAGTTCTTTACTTATTCTAAAAAAGTTAGGAGACAACTAAATAGTTCTCAAGTTTTTAACCTTTCAGCAAACAATCATACTGACTTCAGAAAATCTCTGGATTTAGCATTACAGAGCATTAGATCTACAGCTTTACTTCTAATTTCACTCTGATTCAGAGTCATACACAATTTATAACAGCCAGAGAATGTATCTGGAGTAACATGATAGCTTTATTCCTTAAGAGAATTTAAAGAAAGCTAGAAGTATCTTTACTTTCATAAATCAAAATTTAAATAGCATTTACATTTGGCGGACTTCTCTGTAAAGTGAGTACAGGTCTCCTTCAGTAGATTACACAGATGCCTTGAAACATTGTTTCTAAAAGAGGGAAAAAAAAACACCCAATATGTTGTAACAGGAGTGCATAATATTTTACCTACCAAATTAGTAACAATGTAAATGTCCTGATGACCTTTAGAATTTAACAACTATGTGTAATTTTTATACTAATAGAGTTCTCAGTACAAAACCTAAGTATTTTCACAAAGATATTTGTCTGTTACTTACTCTTTTAAGAGATCTTTATTTTCACATATCTCATCTTCCAGTTTTAAACTTAGTTTTTCGTTTTCAAACTAATCCCATAGGAAACAAATAAAAACACATTGTTATTGAAAAGTATCCTAAAAAATACTTTCACTTTTGAAATCTTGCATGCAAGTGATTTTCTGCATCAGAAGACAAACTTTTTTATCTGATATTACATGCTGAGACTTTTTTTACTGTTTGTATGAAAGACATAATAAAACAATAACTTACCAACAACTGAAATATTTTCAGGTACATTATTCATACATACATTCACACTGCACATGTGCACTCCTCAGAACTATTTTCTCAACACAGAAGTCAATCAAAGATGAGTTAGGTTAGTAAAGCCAAAGAAAAGTAACAATAACCAACAAGAAAAGAGGACTAATAAATTATCTAAAATATGTATTTCAGTCAAAGCTGTCCACTACCAGCAAGATAAAAAACTAGGATAAAGCAGACTGCACTACTTCCTGTATGTTTTGAGAAAAGAAATACGCATGAGCATACTTTACACAAACTAGAAGGATGAAAGGTTATTCACTCTTAAATAGATTTCAGAGTAACCACAGTATATAAACCATACAAAAATGGAATGCACACTGTTAAACAGGTAAACTATTACTAACAAATGTTTTTTCCTTTAGTAACACTAGAGCCATAGGTGACTAGTATGTAGCCAAAGGTCTTATCTGAAGTCATGACATTAACAGTTCAAAATTTCTTCAACCTCTGCTGCATTCCTTAATACTTAATTGTACAAATAATATTTATGCTAAATCAGGAAGGACTTCCTTTTTACTTTACATATTCAGTGTATATTGTACAATACTGGCCTGCAATTCTTGAATGGCTTTACGCTGGGCTTCAATAATTCTTCTATTTTCTTGCAGTTTCCTTTCTTTCTGCTTTAATTCTGATTCTACAGTTAATTTCCACTGCTTGATCTTCTCAGCCTCTTTGTAGAGTTTTGAATACAATTCATTCATTGTTTCTATAGTCTATTAAAACAGGTTATACAACTTAATCTCAAATGTATTTGTTTCAAATACGTATTTATCTCAAAAATACCATAAAAATAATTTTCCACAGATGGTGACAAGCTAATATACAATCAGAAACCAAACTATAAATCTCTGTGCATCCACTGTGTGTATTGACAGACAATATGTAACAATTAAGAGACTGAAACACAAGCAAAAAATACCTCACTGCCTTGAGATACATTGACATCACTACATAGCCTTAAAGGCATGGATAACTGCACTCCACCAAAAGACAAAAGCTTTTCTGTAATTGATAATTAGAGCCAAGATGCCTTCTATTTCTTCACACATTCCCTCCCCTCTCTTAATCTGACAGATACTGCTGAATTAAGTAAAAACAGCTTCAGAGATCTGGTGCAAGACTACCTGCAATATGTTTTTGCAGTCAAGTCATGCATAAAACAGGAAGAAAAACCAACCAACCTGGTGCTCTTAGAACATCTCTAAAACACTGTACAGGCAGTACCTGAACAGTAGTTCAGATAGGGAAGAGTAGCAGAGCAGGCAACAGAGTAGTTCTGCAGTTTGTTTTAGGTATGATGTCACCTAACACTATCCTTGTTTTGGCTGCATCATGCTATGACTACAATCCTGATTGCTTTTAATAGCTGCTAGGGCTAAAAGAAGTTTCATCTTCAGTTATATGACAATTATTAGAAGGACTGCAAGGAACTTGTTCCAGTTTGTTGCAGCAAACAGCATTTTGTATCTGGGAAGCACAGGAAGCTACCACAAAAACAATTTCACTAAGCTGCAGAAAAACATTAGTAAAGACACAATGAAAAAAATTAAATGGTTAAGGAAACCACTAAATTGCTTTCTAATTAAAAGCCAGACAAGGTACTTGGGATAATCTGCTTTGATTTTCAAAAAAAATTGTCTGACTTCAATCCTTCTGCCTTTCAACATAATCAGTTTCTGAAAGATACTTAAGTGCTTAACCCTTATTCTGGTTTAAACTCCCCAGGCACTTAGAAGAAAAACAATCCACAACTTTGAAATCACCTTCATCTCCAGTCATATTCACTAAATGACAAATACCTCCACTAAGAGACTCAGCTTTAAACAGGAGACAAAGCTGTTATTCCCCTTTGACTACTTCCTTTAGCCCTGAACGAATTGAATAGTGCTTTAGGCACTGTTTTGGGAATAAATTAAGAGGGTCTAAGAAATCAGATAAGCCGAGTTTATACTTAGCTGACCTCTTCATCTACCTCAGAGCAAAGTTTTACTTGCTGTGAAATCGCATCTGAAATATGAAGAGATTTTCATCAACATTTTTTCTAAAAAAAAGTGGAATTGCATTTAGCAATGTTACAGCTATGAAAATTGTTAAACTACTCTTAAAAAAAATTACAATATTTTAAAAAATAAAAAGAATGTGCAATGTAAGAGCTTATTTTAATCTTACCTGAATCAGTGATTTCAACATGCTTCGGTGTACTCATTACAAATGGCAAACTAAAATCATCATCTGGGAATTTGTTAAAACCCTGCACAAATTAAAAAATTAGTTTCTAATGGGTAGATTTGTAAAGGCTCACAAAACACAGAAAAAATACAGCTAATGGAAAAACAGATTTTTCCATTAATAAATCAACAACCTACAATTTTAAGGCTCGAGGTATTGGTAATTACTCTGGAACTCTCCTGCATAGTTCTTACTTCACAGTAGCTTTTCAAACTGTTGGTCTTTTGTAGTTTGCTTCATAGATTAGATTGTAGTCAAAATGGAAGCTTCTGATGACAAGAACTTAGTAACTACTGCAAGCCTGTACACAGTTGCACAGTAAAGGATTCATTAACCAACGTGTTTTTTTTCAAGTCTAGTATTTGATACTTATTTTTTTGCTTTATTCCCAAGAGTACTTCTAAAGCACATATGATTATGATTTAGCATGAAAATTGCATTTTACAGGGCCGTTTAAGTCACATAAATTTGTCCTCTTAATAGCACAACTCATCTCCTGTCAGAATATCACATTTGAATCTAAATATTATATAAGGAGCCTCAACATGAAAAAATCTTGAATTCACATAACTCAGAGCATAGCAGCAGAACATTTTCACTACACACTTGATCTGGTGGGACCAAAAAAGCCAGTAAGGGTGTCCGAGTGGTGTACGTCCCACTTACTGTGCTCAGTTACCCACAAACGTGTCTATCATCGGTGGTGTACAGGTAAAATACGTTGCCAACAACATTTTTTCTTAATCTCTTCAGTTTTAACAGAAAAAAAAATAAAAATAAAAAAAAAATAAATTGAAATTTAAACTTAAGATTTCCTCCCCAGGCACCAATCTCAACAGTTTGAAGAAAGACGAGTTCAGCGCAGACGCTGTAACGCAGAGGTGTCCTTTCCAGGACAGAGGCTCAGGACTTCGCTGGGGCTGCGCAGCAGGGCCGCTGCCCCCCGCGGGAGGGCCCGTCCGCCGCCCCCAGGCAGCACCATTTCCCTGGCACAGCCCCGCTGACCGAGTGCTCGTCTGCGGTTTGACTGCAGACACCTGACCGCCGCTCAGACGCGGCGGCACGAACAGTTTAAACGGTTTTTCTTTCTCCATTGCCTCGGAGACTCGGGCAGGCCTCAGAGCCACCGCCTCACGACGGGCACGCTAACGCTCCTCGCCGGCT